GCATACGACTCTGGAGTTCTGGTACTCACTAATTCAGATACCCGCAAAATCGTATGTGTATGATGCGAGTACCCATTGAACCGTCTGCGATGCGGGTATCCGTTTCAGTGTGGATATCCGCTATATGTTACAGATATCTACGTGTAATTTTGTCAGTTTTAAAAGCGTTTTAGAATTGTTTATACTAATTTCCATTTTGTTTATAGTTAAATAGTTTGAATTAAGGATGTACTGATCGTACAGTCCCTACAAAGCAAATTAAATTTGGAAATGTGTTTATTTACAATATTTAATTGCAAATTGAATGAGAATCATCACAAATGATTTTATAACACATACCTTTAAAATTAACAAAGGAGGATGTTAAAAAAGTTCAATTTTTGGGCCCTTGCAAAATCTTAGTTAATCACAAAAAATTGTTTGGGATCACATGAGATAGTAAAAATAGTTTTATATCCCAGACATGCGGGGAAAATAGATTTTTTTGATATTATATGTGGTATTCGAAAATTTAACTTACATATTATATCTCCTTTTGTAAGTTAAATTTTCGAATACCACGCTAGAACTATCATGAATTGGATATATTGCAGTTTTTCATAATAATTGGTACTAAAGATCATCAATACTACAAAACAATAAAATATTTAATCCACATAAGCTGCGTTCGGAAATATCATCTGGGTGCTCCCGTGTATCATCTTATCCTTGTTTAACATTGGGTAAACAACAAGAATAAAACGATACACGGACATTCGAGTGATATTTCCGAACGCAGTTCAAAAAAGAAACTTCAGTGTATCCAATAATAGGAAAAACCAAGAAAACTATAATAGATCGGTCATTTTGAATTTGCTATCATTGATATTTTCATTTAATTAATAGATTCATAGTTAACTTATCTTACAAAGCACTCTTAGATCCATTTTGATAAAAAATTTGCTTACCCGCAACTCTATGTATAAAACTGAATGGCAAGGACGCTTTTAGATTCCTTATATCCATAATTTGCTATTTTTAAAAACAGAATAATGATAAGCGACCCTTAATATCTCTAACATAAGTGTTAATTATCATGAAAAACTTTTGCAATATATCCGATTCGTGATCGTGAATAAGTTCTAGTGTGGTATACGAAAATTCGCGACTTACAAAAGGAGATACTAACATTAAGAAAATCTACTTTTCCCATTTCTGGGATATATAATAAAACTATTTTTATTGTTTCATATAGATCCCAAATAATCATTTTTTTGGTTAATCAAGATTCCACCGGAGACTCAAAAATCGGACTTCTTTAACATCCTCCTTACACGCAAATATTTATAGCATATAGTGGATACTCACATCGAAACGGGTATCCATATCACTCACTTCCCTGGGTACTTCGTATTGCGCACAATTCGCTTTTATTGTTTCACAATTAATGGTTTGCATTTTTTTAAAAAAGAGATTACTAAAGTTACATTTACTATTTCTTAAATATGGGAGAATAATTGCGAATAATTATTTCCATTTCCAATATATTTCAAATATATTCAAAAACTTGTTCGTTAACAAACAATAAGGTTTTTTTTTAAATATTTTAAACATTGAATCAATCTTGAATATTTTATACGTGTATAACTTTTACATCCAACAGAATCTAAACATAAATTGCATATTACTGTATTACTTTTAACTTAATTTACTGAAATTGTTCTTACAGTTATATATTGCCAATTAAAGCAAGACTCGATATAATAATTGCACTTACGCAAGAATGTATCTTATAATTAATAAAATAAAAGTGTCACAATACTAACCGTAATATTTTTAATCATACGTTTATGACATAATATGACACACGAGTCAGTAGACGCCATTTAATTCTTCACTAGATCTCAGTGACCAGACTTCTGATATAGGGATTCTAAGACGAGCGATTTTGGCTACACAAAAATGTCGCGAAATTCTATAGCGCCACAGAATAGCTCTGTACGAACGGGTCGGCACTTTCAATTGTGGCACTAAGTCGTCGCTCGTCTGTAGGAGCCCTTAACTGCGCGCCGAAAGAATTTTTCAGTCTTGAAACGCAAACTCCACTGAACTACCGCAATAATATCACGAGTTAAATTGACTAGTAATTTAATAATTCGATGTTCTTATGCGTCTTAGAACGATCTTAATAACATAAATCATAATAAATAAATTTCAAAGTTATGAGAATCAACGCGGAAGGGGTTGCGCACAGTTATTGACAAGTAACATTACTTCTTCATAATATTAATGTCTTCTTTATTTTAAAATCTTGAACGTTTCGACTCGCTTTGTAGTCATCTTCAGCAATATAACAATTGAATTCCATTGAATTCGGTCTAAAACATTAAGCAGTCCGTCCAGAATAAGTCACTCTCAAATTCCCGAAACTGTAGTGGATTCTCAAACAGAACACTCAACATATTAAGTAAGAAGCTTTGAAAAATTTTGGATTTCCTTATGCGATAATTCACTTTGATTAAATAATGACACGTGTCACGAACATCTATAACGAAAACAATTTCAATACATGGTTCCGTGTGTCATATACATCTTAAAGACGTATTTAAATGTGTTGAATGCTCTGTTCGAGAATCTATTACAGTTTTGAGAATTTGAGAGTGAAGCTCGATTGCGCACATTATCGATCGTACACGGCAGTATTTCCAAATCGGACACGGACCCGATTGGACACGGACGCGATCGGACACAGACTCGATTGGACACGGATCCGATCGCACACGGACTCGATCGGACACACAGCTTTGCATTAAGACACGGACCGATTGCGCATCAACCCAATTGCGCACCGATCCGATTGCGCACGATCCGATTACACACAGATTTAATCAGATGCAATAACGATTGAAAAAACAGGGAAAATATTAGATGATGAAAAAACATAAATAAGTGTTTATATATCCACGCAGAGCTCTCACCTTCTCCCCCCCCCTCCCCCACCCTGCAAAGGGACGCACAATTTCTATAATTGTACTGTTGGTGAGATTAGAAAATCTGCCATGTAGACATTGGAGTGTACTAGTACTTATTGATTCGGAGCAGCTACGCCGCCATGAACAAAAAAAGGATAATGTATTCTACCCACTTGAGGCCTAACCGCTTAGAAGATGCAGCGTAGACAGTGTCCGCTTGGAACCCATAAAGTTTATAACCCAAAGACAGTGAAGTATGAAGACAGTCTGTGTTCAATCGGGTTGTGCGCAATCGGATCCATGCGTAATCGAGACGGTGCGCAATCGGGTCGGTGCGTAATCGGATTTGTATGCAATCGGATTCGTGTGCAATCGAATCTGTGTCCGATTGGGAAATACTACCGTGTCCGACCGATAATGTGCGCAATCGAGACATTCTCGAATTTGAGAGTGACTCATTCTGGACGAACCGCTTAACATTTTAGATTGAATTTAATGAAATTCAATTGTTATATTGGTGAGGATGATTACAAAGCGAGTCGAAACGTTCAATATTTTGAAATAAAGAAGACATCAATGTTGTGAAGAAGTAATTTTACTTATCAATAACTGTGCGCAATCTCTTCCGCGTTGACTCTCGTTAGCCTTGAAATTTATTTATTATTATTACTTTAAATATAGATAGTCCGTTTTAATCGTTATGATCTCAATAATGCTGAATAATATATTAAAATCTGTAAATAATTAATTTTTAAGTCAAGCGGTAATAAAGTTCTTTAATATAAATTGATTTAATTGAATATAATGTTAGTATGACAATATAGGAATATAAAACAAAATATGGTAAATCGAACATTTCGGAACTCACGGGTCCTTCTTCAGCGATACTTGAAGGATGTTACATAGTCATAGAGATGAATGATCTTATGGTCAACGGGACATAGTATATTATAATTGTTTTGAAGAATTGATTCTCCTGTTTTTATGTGAATTGTGTAGTACGAAAACAGGAGCATCTTTACAACCTTCTGATACGTTTGAACGCAAATGTTACAATCACTTTGTAACAATGGCTTTGTTTAAGCGCAAATGTTACAATAACTATGTAACATATGTGCTTTTCGCATATTGTATGAGTTCCGAAATGTTCGATTTACCATATTTTGTTTTATATTCTTATATTCTATTGTCATACTAACATTATATTCGACTAAATCAATTTATATTAAAGAACTTTATTATCGCTCAATTTAGACTGTCATTTTTTACTTTGCATTGCAAAAAACGAGCGAAATCTAATTAATTAATTTTTATTGCGAAAACTTCGAATATGACATGTGACAATAAAACAACCGACAGGAAATATGATATTCTTGTCCTTTACAGTGCAAAGGGAAGTGCCAGAAAGAAAAACAATTAGAGAACACATAATATACAACTAATCAAATCAAAATAGATGGAATCCAATAAATCTATGTCTTTGTGAATTTAAAACTTTCTACTTTCTTTATATATGTACCTATCATTTCAGAGATTAATCTCTTATTAAGAAAAATTTCATCCAATATCTCCACATTGACCCAATCCAAATCATGAATTCAAGTCTGTGTTCTGTAATAATAGACTTCCGTGCACATTTTTTTATATTATTAGGCTCCTCAATCCTGCTCCTGAGTAATCTACGTGTCTAGTTCACATGTATAGCTTCGCAATTTAGATTATTAATCTTATAAACTTTGAACAAGATAGACCAATAAAGAATCTTTATAACTTCAATAAATTAACTTGGTCTATTAACCTTGAAAATGCTAAGATGAAATTAAGAATTTAAAATGTTCGATAAATTTCTCAGCTATGATAGCTATGTACGTATTATTTTTCTTATGTTTTTCAGGCTTATAAGAAAGTTTTTCTTTTTTATTAAGAATTCTTTTTTATTTTGTAAATTTAGAGAGAAAAGACGTTTTTTAATATTAAAAAAATAAAATACAACGGGTACCTGTTGTCTAATAAAATATTAATGATGTAAATTTTTTCCTGAAATTCCAGATGCGATAAACATAAAACTGTGTTAGTTAATCCAATAACAGTTCCTTTTGTGTTCCTGTGGGAAATCGGATATTGTGAATGAAAATTAAGAAGTCTGCTCGAAAAGGTAGGTTTATGGAATCAATCAAAAATAAAATCATTTTTTTAATCAAAATTAATTTTAAAAAATTTAATGTATCTCTAAACCCTATCTCCATAGTAAATTTGAGTCTACAGGGTGTCCCATCTAACTCGAGCATCTAAAATATCTCGTTTGGTTTTTATAATAGGAAAAAGTATTTCAAATGAAAAAATGGAACGGTTTCAATGGGAAGATATTTCGGTTATGTTATTTTTCTTCTAGATGGAGGTCAAAAAGATATGAAGATCACTTTTTTAAATGAAATTATATGATTTTTTTACACAATAGGTTCTTCTAATTATTCTACATATAAAAGTATTCAGGCGTGCCAGAATAAAGTATAAAATATTTCATAAACTTTGGTTTTTTGATATTTTTATTTGAATACTTTTATATATTTTTTATACAGAATAATCAGAGGAATCATATAGTGTAAAAAATACAAATCCATTAAAAAAAGTGAAGGTAATTATATCTTTTTGGCGCTTCCATATAGAAGAAAAACATGACCGAAATATATTCCCTTTGAAACCGTTCCACTTTCATTTGAAACATTTTTTCCTATCTTAAAAACTAAGCGAGATATTTCAAATGCTCGAGGTGAGACACTCTGTATAATGTAAATTATTAAATTTAGTAATTAGCTCCCCAAATAATAAAATGCTCGCATAGTGATATCATGGTCCGCACACGCTGTGCGAATAATCCGCATGGCATGTCATTACACATATGTTTCATATGAGATTTATATTACTCGCACGTGTGCGAAAATTGCAAAATGGTACAGAACTTAACTTTCAGTCCGCTCTACCTGCTCACGAGCACTTTATCAAAACTTACCAGATACAAACTTACCTGCATTGTAGCGGTAGCGACTTAGCGGCTATGGATGCAGTTTGGCGCTACAAATGCTTCAAAGTTTCTGATTGACCAATCGAAAGAAAGAATTTTACTAATTGACCAATCAAAAAGTGCTTCGAAGTATTTGTAGCATCAAGTGAACCGTAGCCAATGAGTGCATTCAGTACCACAATTGCTCACTGAGCGCTCAGTGAGCTCTTACATTTGATTGGCATAATCCGTTAGATCTAAAAATATAGATCAAACAGATACAAGAGCTCACAGAGCGCTCAGTGAGTGGTTATAGTATACACCCAATGTATTATCTGCATCATAAGCGAAGGAGGAGGGGGGAGAGATAAGAAGGAGCATTTAACGTTACTATTATTACTACTACTACTACTGCTACTGCTACTGCTACTGCTACTGCTACTGCTACTGTTACTGCTACTGGCATAACTCAAGGTCAAAGTACCGTTTTACAAATGTAAACCCTTATTCATGACATCACAAATGAAAATAGCGGAAAATTTTACGTCCGAATACGTTATCAAGCCTAGGTCAAAATTACCCTTAGAGGTCATGTGGAGGTCAAGTTACTTTTAGAGCACCCGTACCAACCTTCTAAAAGATATGGATGTGTTTGTACAAAAAATAGTTCAAACAATACTAGGTATTTACATAGCTATGATGCATCCATCTGCTGGTGAATTTGAATTCTATCTTTAGATTCATTTGTAGTCGTGTACATCGATTTTTAAAGATTCCTAATTATTAAGATCTTGAACAGTCGATGCCGCCTGTGTCAGCGCCTGTGTTACCCAAGATGTACCACGTGGAGGTCACAAGGTCGGACTTACACCTCGTCGGGGTGCTTTTTTAAGGTGGTTCCCCTTGCCGTCACCTTTGTTCGTACGCATGTGTTCAGTCTAGATTTTCGAAGTGTCCTCCACGTGCATGTATGCAGGCT